GGGGGGGGGGGGGGGGGGCTATGAAAATTTATTATATTTAAAAGGGAGGCCATGAAAAAAGTAAATATCTTTCGCCCCCCTCCCCTGGTATTAATAATGACTGCTCCCTAAGTCAATATTTAATGTATGCACCCTTGTGAATATTTTACGCATCTTTGCGTTCAGCTTAGTGCTAGGGCATTAAAATTTTAACACTACGTTATTTCAATGGTTCTGCGGGGTTTTTGGCACACCCTGTAGTAAATATACGGTAACTTGAAACAGTATAGTACTATAGTGTTTTGGCCGAATTGTGTTTGCCATGCACTGTTCGGTACGGCATTACCTGTTTATGCATCCAAATGAGTAATCTGTTATTATAGGTGGGTTTCACTAATCACTCAGTGTTATACATGGGGAAATACAACTTTACATGCATGCATTGAAGATAGTATCATCATAGTATCATCCTATCATAGTCGTATGAGCGACTACGTACATAACGGTAAATTGCGTGCTTTCGCAACCAAACAGAAAATCATATATGATTATGATATCATAATCACTTCGACACTTCGTTGTTTGTTGTGCGACGTCCGCAGCAAGTTATTAGTATACTATGGCAGTATTATACGCAAGTTACCAGTATACTATGGCAATATTATATTAGTATACTAATGGCAGTATTATACACTCTCAGGGTGTATCAAAAAGAACTGAACAGATTTGAAATTGTTCTCAATTTCGCAAAACAGCTATTAGTATCCAGTTTTTGATATATATGGCTTCTTTGGGTACTTAATGTAGAAGAATGAAAAAAAATTCGCGAACACAAATTTTGCACACCAGGGGGGGTGTCTTTTCCGACAAACTAAAAATGGCTTGCGCACGCGATTTAGAAGCTATAGTCGTATTTTGAGTTAAAAAAAACTAAAAGTAAAAAAAAACTGACACCTATGCGGCTAATTTGAATATCAAAGGAATCAGGTTTTTTTACTCACCCTGTACAGTACAATGTTTTTAGAATTTGCATGATTCAGAACTAATTGATCCCAAGCGTGCATAAACACAATAGTTGACTCATTCGTAGTCGAACTGATAATTAGTTTTCTGCTTTACACATAACTTTGTGTTATTCTAATCTCTATCAACGGGGTTAATTAGGATGTATTTTCAAATCACAGGAGCAAAATATAAGTAGCACCGACATTGAAATGCTAGTAGGCAGCAGAATTATGCAAATTATAGTATTTGCAGGTTTTTTGATACACCCTGTAGTTTTCGAAGTAACGTGGCTTTAATTTGACGTCGTTGGAGTGCAAGTTTTGCTCCATGACCATGTTGTTCGGTATTCACGGCAGTTCTTAAACGACTTCGCCTCAATAAAATCAAAAGAAAGGCAATTTGGCGGAGAAGTATATTCAAGCGAAGTAAAATATCAGCTAAGCACTTTACTTTACTCCTTCTTTAGCCTGGTTCACATTTGCCGGCCGCATGTCTGCGCTATCATTGTTCACACCTTTTCAGAGCAGTTGTTGATGCATACATTATTTTGTGAATTATTTGGTTGAAGTACCACAACGACAATACTCAATATCCCGCCGACATACCGCAGGTGTAAGTAGAGTCCGTGCTTTATCAGATAAACTGATCGCGTTTTAAATAGTACATACTGTACCACACAGTCCGCACTCACTGTACAGTTGTGGTCTTGTGATAGTTTGAAGTAATGTTTGTGGCTTTAATAGTGATCGTTGTTGTGTAATTAAAAATCTGTGTGCTCTTAAAATAATTATTGGCTGATATTGTGGTCTAATGTAATGAAAAGGTTCCAAAAATGGATACACGTACACACATACTATTGTCGTTTTGATGTCACAGATATTAGAGTAACGGTAGGTAGGATAGAAAGATTAAAAAATAATGTATGGTTAGATGGTCAATGAAGTGTGACGTATTTTGAGCAATTGAAATACGTGCCAGTTTCAGCCATAAACAAAAGTTAGATAACTTTAATATTGTTTAATTAAACGAAATTAGGAACGCATAAGAAGTTATGTAGTGGAAGAAGACGATTAGTAGCATTCAACAACATTTGGTTTTTGTCTAAAACATGGAATTTCATACAATTTGTAACAAACAATTTCGTTAGATCATGAAGTGCGACTTATTTCAATTGCTCAAAATACGTCACACTTCATTGAATCCCGGGTGCAGCCAGCTAGGAATATAGTAGTCTAATAGTAAAGAATTTACAGTCTTACACAAAAGCAAATAAAATTCCTAAAGCAAAGTCAAAATTTTAGAACGGTTAAGGTAATATATTAACGCATAAATGTGAATTTATATATCAGAATATGTATGCAGTTTAACCCTTGGACCTATTAACCTCGCACACTTATGCAAATATTTATACGTTCAATTCAACGATTTATTGTTTAAAATAAAATTAAAATTTAAAAATCCAAACGACATAACCTTATTGCCATACACCTGTTTATTAGTCTCTTGAAATAGACGACGAGGAATCAACATCTCAACTTGATAGTTTCGGCCAAGACAATTTTCTTGCATCCTCGCCAAAAGGTCACTCGTGGATTATTTAAATTACATATACTGCAGAATTTATCTTCAAATATTCTCCACTAAACAACATTACATGTTTTGTACATGTATCGTTATTTTCAAATAACGATGTATTATTACCTTTTGAATTTCGAAATCTACAATTTGCTTGCAAAATTGCACTAACTAGTAACTACCAAGTGCACAATGCTTCCAAGAGATTAGAAGGCCAATCAGAGGAGATGTTCTTTAACTCTTTTGCGTAAATTGTCCAGTCACAATCTAGTACTATCTATTTGCAGGATTACTAAAAAATCTTCATGCTTTACTATCAAAATTGGTTTGACCAATCAATATGCCTGTTATGTGTAGTCACAGAAAAGTCAATTTTCATTTGAATACCGCCTATTTGACTTATCTAATTTAATTTTTAATTTAACAAATTTTATTTGGATCGATATTCACAATTTTTAACGAACAAAAGAATATAACAGAAGAAATATTACATTAAGTTAAAGTAACCTAGATATCAAATGTAGATCAAAAAGGTAAGGTACGAATGGTACTCTTGTAAAAGGTCCCATGCAGGGCACCCACCTCCAAAATAGTAATCATGATAACTAATAGAACATCGTGAAGTCAAACTCGCTAAAGGATTCCGGCAAGCAAAAAATTAAACTGAATAGTTAACTCGAAATTCAAAATAGTCACCGCTTCAGAGAATTTGAGTAAACGTGGCTCTATTTCCTGAAACTGAACATGTCAGGTAAACTAAGAGACGGATTGAACATGCATGTAAAGGCCAGCTTCCACACAGGAAAATCCTCCGCCGAACAGAAACGGCAGGATAGCTTTCGTCGTGTTAAATTCACGACGTCCACGTCATTCGTGTTGATTAAATTAATTTAGTTCCAAACCAGAGGTTCCAAACGAAAGCTTGCAAAACAATAGAAAATTTTGCTATCCACCCTTATCGTTTGACTATATATTAATCACTTGCTCAATGTGCAAAAATTGATCGAAGTTTACACGCTGGAGTGCGATAGAGTTGATTGCGTGATCGGAGTGAAGGAAGGCGTTTGCACGCTGGGTGGGAAATAATTTTAAAACCTTGATCCAAATTTTTTTTTGTTTTCCTTTTTTACGTTAGTCGCGCGACTGATCTGACTACCCCTAGATCCGCCCCTGGAATACCGTAGAAAGTTTCGAAGCGGTCACGAGGTGTTCAAAAAGTTCATCACGTGGTACATAAAATCAACCCCGCGCGTGCAAATCTCGAGGGGTTACTTTACCACTTTAGCGGTTTCGATAGTATTTAACTTTAACTCCTCAATTTCCCTCAGCTTCAAAGACCTGCCATCTTGAAAATAGTCTAAAATAGTCTAAAGAGTCTAATGTAGACTGGGTTTTCGTGTCCAAACACGTACGTGAGCTGAATGAAGACGAATTATTGGCCGAATTGCTATTAATATCTAATGATGTGTGAAAAAGAGAATGACATTTTCTCGATAGACAGAGACATCAAAACTTTGCAACTTGTGAAGTGTCGAGTCGAGGGTAAAGTCGACGGTCCTCAAAAACTTGTTTTATTCATTTTTAATGTATTTTACATTCGTGAATTTTGGAAGCATACGCCAGTTCGTACGCAAACTAATAGACCTTTCCCAGGATACGTGTGGCCGAGCGTGAAAGCGAGGCTCTGGTAAGTACATGGCGCCAATTTTCAATATGGCGGATCAACAAAGTCTGCAAGGGTGCAAGAAAGACGAATTAAAAACGTGGCTTAAAGCTCGTGGACTTAAAGTTTCAGGAAGAAAACAAGACTTGATCACTCGTGTAACAAAAGCCGAACAAGACGGCACTGAATTACTTGTGAACAGGGAAATGAGAGAGAAAAATGAGCGAGAGAAAAGAATGATCGACAAGCTTAAAACTCCGTTTGAGGATCTCCCAAATCCTAAAACACTAAACAACTGGACCGAGGATCTCTCATATCTACCGGTCATAACTGTTAATGAAATTAAGGACTATTTAGTGTATGGAAAATGCAAATTCTACGCAAAAGAAGACATGAAGTGTTTTAAACAGCTAAAAGCTTTCTTCTTGTACATGGATGGCCATGTACAAGATATTAAACTTAGTATTATTAACGCAACTAGTAATTATTGCTTCGTAAAAGCAAAGATTTTACCATCAATGCGCACAGACCGTGTTTATGAGACCTGGATTTCCGTCGTTAAAGAAACTGCTAAAGTCTTATCTGCAGATTGTAACTGCACAGCAGGGTAAGCAACATGCATGCATCTGTTTGCGTTCTTGTTATATATGTTTTTACGATATTCTAAATTATAAATAAGATATTAAGCAAGCAAACAAACAAACAATAGTTGGATGTATAATATTCTTGGTTGACATGTAGTTTTCTTAATTAATTTTGCTTCTGTTTGTAGGTTAGGTGAAGCATGCAATCATATTGCAGCATTACTGTTTGCTGTTGAGGATTATGCCAAGACCTATAATCAACCCTCCTCCAGTAGCACTTCGTGTACATCAAAGCCGTGTGAATGGAACAAACCACGTAGCAGAAAACTCAGTCCCAAGGAAATAAGTCAAATGACACCAGTTAAACATCAGTATGGGAAAAAGCCAAGGCTACCAGCAGTACCTAGTTCTGGTGAGTACAATGCCTGCTCAGCAAAACAGAACTCGTTTTTGCTCAATCTCACCAATAGCCTCAAAACTGTAAATCCACACTGTGTCCTTTTTACTGTTGTTGAAAAAGAGGGCAAAGAAGACACAGAAATGTCATATGACATTTCATGTGATAACAATGTTGGGGCTTATGAAGAAGTTTCAACAACCAAAGTTTTGGAATCACCCACTACCCCAGAAGTTTTAATGTCACCGACTACTCCAAGCCTTATTGGTATTATTCCGAATAATCATATGTCAACAGTTATGACAATCAGTTGTCCCATCCAGAGCCCTTTGAAAAATGCAACACGAATCCCACTCCAATCTTTGCAACAAAATATTTTAAGTGTTCGTGAATCACAGATAGCACAAGTAGCAAGCAGTTCCACTTCAAAGTATATTCCAATAAAGCTTCCACTAATCGATGATTTTGTCAGAGAAATGGAACTTCCAGAAAATTTATCTGAGGATGCCAGACAATTTTTTAATGATTCAGTAAAGGTAGACCTTGAGAAAGCATTCAAAATTGAATCTTCCACTCGAAACCAGTCGAATAGTGTTGCATGGTACAACCATAGGCAGTAT